TACAGGGTCCTGCAAGAAAAAGACAAGACCCGCAAATCCGTGGCCACAGAACAGCAGAATATGAACGCAATGCACAAAGTCTCTTGTTAAGCGTTTTCCTCCTGTAGAAAAACATAAACACTTAACATGGTGTAATGTATTAAGATGCTATTAAAATATCAAATTAAATATACAATTTATTAATATAATGAATATGTATATAGTATTTTCCTCCCATACCGCAAAACGTGGTATAATGTGGCATAATGGACTAAGTCCAAACTCAATATGCTCCTCTACATTATTAATATACATAACTAATATACAGGCAAGCAGGTGAGCCCAGAATAAATGCAACATGCACAGTTTCGTGTTAAGCGTTTTTCCATATAGAATAAACTGTCTACAGCTCTGTTATATCATTGTCTTTGTCTATTAAGCTACATTACGTGTTTTATTTATAATGATTTTATATAGGAGGAAAATGTTTAACATGCAATTTAACGCATTGCGTTCTGGGATCGTTTGCATGCCTGTACGGAGTTGATCCTTTTAAAATAACAATGCATTTCAAAATGCACGTTCAAATTTGTTGGTCTGTATACAGTATACTTTGAGTCAACAACAAGACATATAGGCTACTGAATTGTCTTTATCATAGTATACAAGGAGGAAAATGTTTAACATGCAATTTAACGCATTGCGTTCTGGGATCGTTTGCATGCCTGTACGGAGTTGATCCTTTTAAAATAACAATGCATTTCAAAATGCACGTTCAAATTTGTTGGTCTGTATACAGTATACTTTGAGTCAACAACAAGACATATAGGCTACTGAATTGTCTTTATCATAGTATACAACATTAAGCGTTTTGCTTTATGGGAGGACAAGTGAAAGTTTGCGCATTGTGTTCATAGCCATCTGTTTGCCTTGTAGTACATTAAATAATAACTATATATCGAATTTGATCTTTTAATTGAACGTAATGTATATACATATTCATTATATTAATAAATTGTATATTTAATTTGATATTTTAATAGCATCTTAATACATTACACCATGTTAAGTGTTTATGTTTTTCTACAGGAGGAAAACGCTTAACGAGAGACTTTGTGCATTGCGTTCATATTCTGCTGTTCTGTGGCCACGGATTTGCGGGTCTTGTCTTTTTCTTGCAGGACCCTGTATGTTATAGTACTAAATTAGTTTTAATCGTTTAATCACTACAGCGTCTTGTCTCCATTGGCAACACGCACGATTTGTGTCGATTGCAAGTGACGTCGCAGGTAGCGGAGAGTGCAAGTGGCGATTGCAAGTGACACTGTAATTTAGTTTCTTTTGTCTCGTCTTCACCACCTGGCTACTGTTGTAAAATAAAAAAATAAAAGACTGCAAGTGACGTCGCTAGCGGAAGCGCAAGTTCAATTCAATTAAAGTTTATTTGTATAGCGCTTTTCACGATACAAATCATTGCAAAGCAACTTTACAGCCAATTAAGTTTCTACCATATTTAGTGGTAGTTTATCAGTGGTGACTATCAGAAATGTACGGAAAAATCAATTAAAGACGTAATCAAACAGACGATGAACACTAACAGCAATTATTATATGATGCAATCAAACTTATAGCAAAATGTGGTAGTTCTGTATGTTGTTTCAGGGTTGGCATCATCTGAGGTCCTCTGAGGGGTTTGAATCACAGCAATGGTCTGTGGTGCGGAAGGGTCGACACATGAAGTACGCGTCCTTCAGGTCGACCGCTGCAAACCAATCTCGGGGACGGATGCACCTGAAGATGCGTTCCTGCGTCAACATCTTGAACGGTAACCGATGAGGGGCCCGGTTCAAGACACGCAGGTCCAAGACCTGTCTATAGCTGGACATACTGTTTTTCCACGCAATTCTAAAAAATTCCAAGTTATTTTCCCCCATTTGCGCTCAAGACTAAGTTTTTTTCTTGAGAGAATGTATAACAGTAGCTTGGTGGAGTAGACTCATTTAGACCAATATAATCATTTGGTTTTAGCCAGGTTTCAGTCAAGCAGAGTACATCAAAACTATTATCTGTGATCATTTCATTTACAATAACTGCTTTGGGTGCGAGTGATCTAATGTTTAGAAGCCCAAACTTAAAAAATTGTTTTTGTTCATTTATTTTAAATTTTTCTGGTTTAATCACGATCAGATTTTTTCTAGATCCTGCATTAAATTTATATTTTGACCTCACTATTCGGGGAACAGGCACAGTCTTTATAGATTGTACAGCGCAAGTACTTCTATCATTTAAGCGGGTAGAACAAAAGTCATCAGGGCAGTTATTTGAGATTTGACTTACTAGTCATATTGTGTGTAGCGTCCTGGAGATGTTGTCCGAAAGGAGTTCCGCTCCGACTCTGCTGGGGTGCAGGCCATCAGCACGAAAAAGCCTAGGACACTCCCAGAAAAGATTCCAATTATTAGCAAAGAGCAGTTTCTGTTCTTTACACCATGACAATAACCATTCATTTAAAGCAAAAAGCCTACTGTGTCTGCAAGTGTCTGAGAGTGCAAGTTTGAGAATGCAAGTCTGAGTGCAAGTGCAAGGCTGCAGCTAGACCCTCTTGATTTGTCCTCTCAACTTAAAAAAAATGTGTTGAATCAATTCAATACCGATGTCACGTGCTCAACATCACTTATCGCGAGAACTTGTGAAGACTGTTTGCAGACAGAAGACGCTGGTCAGCCATTTTCGCGAGCTTCTCCACAAAGTTTGGAAACTTTCTCAGTCAACAAATTTAGTAAGCACATTTTTGTATTTATTGGTTTAATATGTGTAAAAATATGTATGTTGTCTAAGAAGGTCACGTGCTCAACATCACTTATCGCGAGAACTCGTGAAGACCGTTGCAGAGACAGAAGACGCTGGTCAGCCATCTTCGCGAGCTTCTCCACAGTTTGAAAATTGGTAAAGTTCTCAGTCAACAAATTTAGTTAGTAAATTTTTGTATTTATAGGTTTAATATGTGTAAAAATATGTATGTTGTCTAAGAAGAGTACAGGTATGGTTTAAAGAGACGTGTTTTCTAGTTACATGTATGCCAGTGTTAGTTTTGCGGCACTATGAAGCCTCAAAATACACGCGGTTCCACAGTATTTTCCACATTGTTCATATATATATATATATATATATATATATATAAATAACTGCTTTCTATTTGAATATATTTTAAAATGTAATTGTGATCAAAGCTAAATTTTTATTAACATGCAAGTTTTCTAATTCTTTTGTCTTTCGTTATTTGCAGAATTACACCTCAGAGCTTCCAGTTTCTGTGTCCAGACTAAGATTTGACTGGATAGGTGAGGTTTGTTTGTATATAACTAGTTTGTTGAGCAGTAGGCCTATATTTATTAACATGCAAGTTCTCTAATTCTTGTGTTATTTGCAGAATTATACATCAGAGCTTCCTGTTTCTGTGTCCAGACTAAAGGCCCGTTCATACCAAGAACTATAACTATAAAGATAACGATATTAGCGTCCACTAGGGAAGGGGCGATATCTTATCGTTTGCGATATAGCGGTAAAAATTCTCCTCACGATAAGAATTAGTCTTCCTGCGAGATTTTATATTTTTTATATTTAAAGCGAGTTTTTTTTGGCAGTGTAGAGTAGGGCATGTTGTTTGTCATTTCTTCGATCACAAATGCAAACATGGTTTTATGTTTACGCGGCGCGATGCAACGCAACGCATAAAAATACAGTATAAGTCATTATAATCCATAATTATGTTCCCACTGGATGCAACGATTACCTAGTTTATAATGGGTTTTCATGTTTTTGAATCATCGCTCTGGCCTGACAGGGCATCATCACAGTACAGGTACATCTAAAAAAATTTGAATATAATGAAAAGGTCAACATTTTTTGTCACTCATTTCAGAAAGTGAAACCCATATATTATATAGATTCATTACACAGAGTGAAATATTTCAAGCCTTCATTTCTTGAAATTTTGATGATTATGACTTACAAATAACGAAAACCCAAAATTCAGTGTCTCAGAAAATTAGAATATTGTGAAAAAGTTCAATATTGAAAAGTCATGGTGTCACACCCTAATCAGCTAATTACCTCAAAACACCTGCAAAGGTTTCCTGAACCTTTAAATGGTCTCTCAGTCTGGGTCAGTAGGCTACACAATCATGGGGAAGACTGCTGACTTGATAGATGTCTAGAAGACAGTCATTGACACCCTCCACAAGGAGGGTAAGCCACAAAAGTTCATTGCTAAAGAAGCTGGTTGTTCACAGAGTGCTGTATCCAAGCATATTCATAGAAAGTTGAGTGGAAGGAAAAAGTGTGGTAGGAAAAGGTGCACCAGCAAAAGGGATAACCGCAGCCTTGAGAGGATTGTCAGGCAAAATCCATTCAAGAATTTGGGGGAGCTTCACAAGGAGTGGACTGAGGCTGGCGTCAGCGCATCAAGAGCCACTGCGCACAGACGAATCCTAGACATGGGCTACAAATGTCGCTTTCCTCGTGTCAAGCCACTCCTGAACCAGAGACAACGTCAGAAGCGTTTTTATATAGAGAAGAATTTAGAGCAGTATGGCCAATGCCAAGTCTGGTAATAATTGTATCTTCTCTTCTACTACCAAAATTAACTCTTTCAACCCCAACTTGATTTTGAATATGATAAAGATGTCTTCCTCTCTCCTCCTTATTCCAAACTTCTTGCCATCTCATTTTTATTGCTGTTCTAATTTTAACCTTAACTTCTTCTTTGCTTAGTGGTATAATAATTTCTATATGTGATCATTTCAGTGCCTGCTTTGCTAAATGTTTCTGAGACACTGAATTTTGGGTTTTCATTATCTGTAAGCCATAATCATCAAAATTTCAAGAAATAAAGGCTTGAAATATTTCACTCTATGTGTAATGAATCTATATAATATATGGGTTTCACTTTCTGAAATGAGTGACAAAAAATATTGACCTTTTTCGTGATATTCTAATTTTTTGAGATGTGTGTATGGTGAGGGGCGTAACATTTCCATCACGCGCTTGAGGTATTCGACCAATCACAACGCACTGGATAGCTGACCAATCAGAGCACACCTTGCTTTTCAGACCAATGAGCTTTGTAAAAATCTACGCGTTTCAGAAAGGCGGGGCATAGAGGATGTGACAGAGTGACCTGTCCCTGTCGGTTAGCGTAGCACAGCGCAGCGCAACACAGACACACACACCCCTTCTTACCTCATCCTCCATTCTCTGCTGGGGCGGTGTGGGTGCACACGCAACGCCATTAGCACGCTGGTCTTCATACACGCAAACATATCCACTCCATTTCCATCCCCATCAGTATTCATGCTGCGCATAACAAACACGCATACATACCCGAGATGTCTTTTGTTTCTATGTTCCTATGTTTTGTCATGTTATCGTGTTAATACATACCTGTGTTCAGTGTTTGTCAGCGTCTGTGTTGACGGTCTTTCGCGTTGCGCTTCCTCCATCGGCCGGCCAAACCCGAGCGCCACCCAGCGAAGCACGAAGCAACCGGAAGTCGGCTCGTCCATTGTCTGGTTAATAAGGGGGGATGGGATAATGGAAATGGGGCGTTATTATTATGTGTTTATTATTATTTATGTCTACATTTGTATTTGTAGTTTTTGTCTGGTTTTGCTTCTACAAATATTTCGTTATTTTATGTGTGTATATATTTATGTGGTGTTGTGAAAATGTATATACTCACCTGAATACTTACCCATCCATATTTGTAATGGGTTTTAACAAGAGGGGCGGGACTTGGGCTATAAAAAGGAGCCCCAAAGGGATATATATATATATATATATATACATTTCTTTTTGTATAGTTTTTTTGTTGTTTTGTTTGTTATTTGTTTTTTTTCTTTGTTACTTTTGTATATAGCTTTTGGTCGTTTGTCTACGGGGACTGCTTCACCTCTCTAGCACTGTAAATAAACATCACTTTACACCTTACATCTCTGCGAGTATTACCAAATTTTTTTGGATTATTATTCTTTTTTTTTTGGGCAAACCCGGTTTCGCCTGACAACGGGCCTGCGAAGACCCGTTGTCTCACAGAGGAGAAACAATAATGTACAGTATGTGGAAAATAATGTGTTTTTTAACCTTAAACCGCATAAACATTTCATTACACCAAATACACAAAATAATGTTTTTTT